GAAGTGCCTGGGGGGAATCTTTTGTTGAGAGTTATTTTATGTGCCTGTTTGTTTCTCCTCTGTTGTTTTGCTGTTGTAGTTTTTGAGTTTTTTAATACTGGTAGCGAGATTTTGTTCATTTTCATGGTTTCTTCCTTTCTGTTGAAATTGTCCACATTCTTATTTGTTTTCTTATTTGGTTTATGAAAAGGTCCTCTGGGTGAATGTTGCCAGTCAGGTTCTTGCAGTCTGGATTAGATTCTTGCCAGAGGACCTAAGTGTGAAGGGTGGATTGTATGGAAAAAACCTGTAAGTGCCCTGGACACAAACCATGTATAGCAGGGGTCCTCAAACTTTTTAAACAGAGGGCCAGGTCATAGTCCCTCAAAATGTTGGAGGGCCGGATTATAATTTGAAAAAAAAAGTTAATGAATTCCTATGCACACTGCACATATCTTATTTCTGGAGCACAAAACAGTTAACAACGATACAATAATTAAAATGAAGAACAATTTTAACAAATATAAACTTACTAGTATTTCAATGTGGACCTACTTTTGGCTGATGAGATAGGATTGTTGTTGTCGTCGTGTGCTTTCAAGTTGTTTCAGACTTAGGTTGACCCTGAGTGAGGGCCGGGTAAATGACTTTGGAGGGCTGTATCCGGCCCCCAGGCCTTAGTTTGAGGAACCCTGATGTATAGCATTAAAGGTCAAAATAAACAGTTTGTACTTTGCCCAGAAATTAATTGGCAGCCAGTGGAATGACTTTCAGATAGGTGTAATATGCTCATTCCTGGATGTTCCTGTAACAATTTGAGTACCAACTTTAGGCCCTCCAAATCTAGGAAGGGGCACAGCTGGCATATCAGCTGAAGTTGATCGTAAGCATTCCTGAATGTTGCTGACATTTGGATCCAACAGCACTCCCAAGCTGCAAACACAGTCTTTCAGGGGGAGTGTAACTCCACCCAGAACTGGTTGACATACCACCATGCCCAGATTAGAACTCTAGATGGCAACATGATGACTGACTTTCTCTAAACATCTTCTAAGAAATATCAGAAGCAATTTGGTGGTTTTAAAATATGAAACACGTGTTGCCTACTTCTGCCAGCATTCTGATTTACTATACAGATGAGGCAGAACATATTTCTTTTGGTTAATGAAGGAAAGGCTGTTTGGGGACATGTAGAAGTGAAAACACTGCATTCAGAAATCTGATGGCTTTCTAATAGTTTATGGGATATGTATCCCCAGTTGCCCCAACTCACCTTAAAGAGTCTTATTTATAGTTGTATTATCCAAAATCTTTTTGTACTGATGGTTCTTTATTGTGTGGACAATTTTTTGTCCTTATATATTTTTTTCTCTGTATTCCCTGTGCAGACTTTTAAAAAAGAATTCAAGGAAACTTGATTGTCTTCCTTGTATTCTTATAAGCCAAGAAAAATAGAATGGGAAGTGACAAATGAACACTAAAATATATATTTCACATATTTACAGGGCATTAAGATGTCAGTATGATGTATCCCAGTGTCTTGGGAAAGTTTGGTCCTTATAACATATGACTCAGATAAGTTCAGAGAGGCTGAGGCTAGATTTCAAAATTAGTTGTAAAGAAGGATATGGAAGAATCCATGATAGGGCATTGAGCCCCTGTCAAGGGAGAGAAAATAATAATAATAAAGCATTACAGAAAATCAGGAACTGAAATCGAGGCACTGACCAACACAGTCTGAATCTTCAGCACTAACATCTGTATGTTCAGCCTAGACAAATGTGCCACAGTGGCGTTAAAGAAAGGGAAAATTACACAAAGCGAGGGCATAGAGATGCCAAACGGACAAACCATAAAGTGCAATCAGCCTGAAGCCCATAAATATCTGGGCATACTACAGTTGGACAATATCAAGCATGGGCAAGTGAAAAATGTGGTCAGCAAAGAATATATCCAAAGAGTCAGAAAGTTTTTGAAGAGCAAATTAAATGGCAGAGATACGATCAAGGCTATCAACACCTGGGCCATCCCCATCATCAGATACATGGCTGGAATTATGAACTGGACACAAGCAGAGCTGGATGATCTGGACAGAAAAACAAGAAAACTAATGACAATCCACTATGCATTACACCCGCATAGTGATGTCAACAGACTTTACCTGCCCAGAAAATCAGGAGGCAGAGGGCTTCTGCAAGTGAAACAAATGGTAGAAGAAGAGAAGCATTCCCTGGCAGATTATCTGAAAGGCAGTCAAGAACCAACATTGAGGGAAGTCAATAGTAGTAAACTGCTTAAAGTGCAAAAGACAAAGAGGGAACACCGTAAAAACACAATCCAGAGCAGAAGAGAAAACTGGCAAAAGAAGGCACTCCATGGACAGTTTCTGGCAAAAACTGAGAGCCAAATTGACAAAGAAAAAACATGGCTGTGGCTCACAAATGGAACTCTGAAAAAGGAGATGGAGGGCCTGATTCTGGCAGCCCAAGAACAAGCCGTGACAACCAATGCCATCAAAGCCAGAATTGAAAAGTTGACAACAGATCCCAGATACAGACTCTGCAAGGAAGCAGATGAAACAATAGATCACATCCTCAGCTGTTGCAAGAAGATTGCACAGACAGACTACAAGCAGAGGCATAACACCGTTGCTCAGATGATTCATTGGAACTTGTGCCACAAATACCATCTGCCTGCAACAAAGAACTGGTGAGATCCAAGCCAGAAAGAGTTACAGAAAATGAACACGCCAAACTCCTCTGGGACTTCTGGAGTTTGGAGCATAATACTCCTCTGGGACTTCCAGAGTTTTGGAGCATAATGCTCCTGACATCACAATTGTGTTAAAAAACAAAGTATGAATCATCGATGTCACAATCCCAGGTAACAGCAGGATTGCAGAGAAACAACTGGAAAAGCTGACACGATATGAGGATTTAAAGATTGAAATGCAAAGACTCTGGCACAAACCAGTCAAGGTGGTCTCAGTGGTGATCGACACATTGGGTGCAGTGCGTAAAGACATGCCAAATATTTGTTTCTTGAGGAAACAGACCATTTGGATGTGGCATTTAATTGTTGTGCTGACGTGAGTTGCCTTCGGGCTAAAAAGAGCGGAATAAAAATGTGGTAAATAAATAAAATAAATAAATGTGATAATATCTAATGGGCACAGTTCACTCCACTGAACTGAGATTGAGAAAGCACGGTTCAGTTGTAAACTGAATGGTATGTTTTCAGTTGAACTAGTCCACAAGAATTTCTAAATATTTATAAACTATCAGTACCTCTTTAAACTGGTTGCTAATTTCTATCTTTCTCATTTAAGCTGTTTAGAAGTGTATTTATTTTCATTCTTTATAAAAAGGAAGAGGGCAATAAGTTAAATGATATTGTGGTCATTTTCTAGCATTCATTTCCACAGTATTAATAAAGTCAGAACCAACACCTGTGTTTGATTATTTTCACAGCCATCACTGACAAATACTAAGCTGAATGCAGGATGCTGTTGTGTGTCTAGAAATACCCCAGGATTTTACATTGCTTACTAGGGAGAAACAACTCTGTGCCGGATGACCACGGAAGTGGTCAATAAATCATTGCCTGGAACTGTAAGCTGAAAGCAGGACATCTTTCTGGAACAAATGTGCTGGGGTTTTATCCAAGCTTAATGGGTCAAAATATTTGTTTATGAAGTATGAGAAAACCATTTCTCATCACTAGAAACAGTAGCAAAATGTTATAGATAACGTTAAGACGTATGTTATACCAAATAACCCGGGTAGCTTTTTCTGGTTGCACAATCTGCAGGCTGTTCTGTTTTTGAAAACGTTCAATGAATAGAAGTTGAATGTACTGGAAGACTATGAGCTGTTCAGGTTGAATTGAAATGCACATATTGACTTGCTACAAAAGGCCCAAGAGACACAGAAACTATTCTTATGTATTGTCGAAGGTTTTTCTGGCCAGAATCACTGGGTTGTTGTAGGTTTTTCGGGCTATATGGCCATGTTCTAGAAGCATTATCTCCAGATGTTTTGCCTGCATCTATGGCAGGTATCCTTAGAGTTTGAGAGGACCTCACCACCTCTGAGGATGCCTGTCATAGATGCAGGTGAAACATCAGGAGAGAATGCTTCTAGAACATGGCCATATAGCCTGAAAAACCTACAATAACCTATTCTTATATAGATGACAACAGTTTTTAGCCCATCTTCAGATGCTTCCAGATGGTGGGCACCTAGCAGTATATTGAAAATTAGAAGATGTTGTACAGCTGTTCTGTCTTTTTTCCCTTGGGGAGGCGGCGGGGGGGGGGGGGGGGGGGGGGGGGGGGGGAGAGCTCTTTATATTTGAGGTTTATCTTTTAGGTTCAAAGTATTTTAGCTCACCACTGGTCACATAAGAAGTACAAGAAAACTAATGATAAATTCAGGAAACATTATTTTATTTATTGTCAACATGACAAGTTATCACTGATGGCAATGTAACATTCATACAATGAGAACAATGCATATTCAAACAAATATCTGTGAAAAATCATACTGATTGACTCTACAATATACAATAAATTACTCATGATTAGCATATGGAGAAATGTTATAATAATATAAGACATGTTTTATACACAAAGTTCACAGACTCAGCATTGATGCTGATGTGTTTAAAGGTTATGTTTAGCATTGGTATCTGCTGTTATATGCCTTAAAGATGTTTCAGATGGATGGTGACTGTAAAGTGAACCTATCACAGGATTTTCTTGGTAAAATTTGTTTGGAAGACATTTGAATTGCCTTCTTTTGAGGCTGAGAGAGTATGTTTTGCCCAAAGCCACCTAGTGGGTTTCATGGCAAAGTGAGAACTTATATCCTGATCTTCAGAGCCATCATTCAACACTCAAACCACAATGACTCACAGAATCCTATTGAAAGTAATGGACCTTTCTTGGAAACATTGGACACATAATCGCTCATAGGATGTTTCACATCCAACCAATTGGGTTTGAATAATGTACTGAGAAGCAAACAGAAACTTTTATTCCTGGTATAGGAACTTGTTTTGTTCATCTCCAAAGCTCACTCTAACTTTGAAATGCCTGCATGAAGCATTTTGTAATTTATTTAATTCATTATCTTTGAAACTTTTGAGGCACCTCTTTATTAACATGTTTGCTTAAGAGCGAGCTATACAGACTACATGAAAACTTTCCCCTAAGATAAGAATAAGGTCATAGAGGCTAATGACACAGATTGTATTTAGATCTTGATGGCATTCTCTTCATCCGCAATTCATTTTTTCAGAATTGCACACCTGAACAATTAGATTTGGAAACCAAACCCATGCTTAGTGTCTTAGGGTGCGTCTATACTGTGTAGATTTAGTGCAGTTTGATATCACTTTAACTGCCATGGCACAATGCTATGGAATTATGGGGATTGTAGTTTTGCAAGGTCTTTAGCCATGGCAAGTGAAGTGGTGTCAAACAGCATTAATTCTACAGTAATTGGTCACAAGACAAGATAAGCAAATTTGCAAGATATAATAGATGAGAAAAGTTTGTTTTCAATCAACTGCAGGAGAACTACTACTAAACATTAGCTAAGCATATAGTCCAACTTGGCTTATGAACATTAAAAATACAAAATATATAAAAATAACAACCAGCATTAGATCTCACAGCCTAGTAGGGGGCCATTTACAGAGGACCAGTGATAGTGTTAAACATTCAGCAGTGATTATTTTACAACAAAGTTCTCCATACTTCCAGAGGTTTAATCTTCTCAGCATGAAAACCAGCTGTTGGCCTTTTTGATTTGTCTAACTCTGCTGGTGTTTGGGTCAAACTCATATTGGTTTGTTCCCCTGAAGAAGTACAATAAGCCTAGAAAGGAAAAAAAGAAACAAAGTAAAGTTAAAAGAGTAAAGTATATACACGTTGTAAGTAATACGGCATGGATGACAGTTCAGCTGGACAGAATTGCTTCCCCTCGCCTTCAAAATAATGAGGAGGAAGGTGCTTTGCTCCCTTCCAGCAAAGCGAGAGCTTGGAAAATAGTCCTGACCGGGATTTGAAAGGGGCAGGGTCGGCATAGCTCCAAATGTCCAACCTGCTCTCCATTCTGGTGTGATCTTTGACCCACCCTCCCACCCTTAAGGGTCGCCATTGGGGGCCAGGTAGGAAATCCCTCCCCATCATGTTCTAGGGGGCATTTTCGCCTACCCTACACTGTTCAGTCCACTGTTCAGGCTACTTGGGTGAGTGGGCTTTAAATAGGTTATCATGTAGAAAAATGGGGATAGGTTTACATCTCAGTGTGCACCTAAAGTACTCTTTTATGTTGTGAGCCATGAATGGAAACCCTCACCTGTGGCTAAAAGAAGCGAGGTGAGGATAAACAGTAATGGCCTTGATTGGGGAGCATTGCGGTCTCAATATCCTCTGGAATTGGGATGGAATTATCCATCTGTTTCCCTTGAGAGGTCACTCTAGAATCAACAGTTGGTTATAGCCGGGGACCATGGTGTCTCGCTCTTGATAGGTGAGAAGTAGGTCTTGGATGGCCACTGACTCATTTCATATACACACCACGTTCATGTTTAAATTGGTTGGCAGTTCACTTAGAGACCGATAGGTAACATTTCATCAAAGTTGTCCAAAGTTTAACCTGCATTCTTGTGTTGACTCATTATGTCGTTGATTGGGGAACAATAAGCTCTGGCCTGATTCTATCTGGGCTCCACCTTCTCAAATCCAGATCTGAATAGATCTGCAGTATCTGGGGCCAATCTGAGGCATTTCTGCTCTCGACTGACTCCAGATTTTTGTGTTGGTCTAGACGAGCTGTATGTGTCTTTCACAGTTTCCTGTGCAATTCAGGAAGATAAGAATTAAATGGATGGGTGCAGAGAGTGTGACAGCGAAGCAGGTATGTTCAACTATGTTTCCTCTAACATTGGTAAACTGCTAGGGATAATACCCCCAAAGGACTAAAGAACTGGGAACATGTCTATTAACAGATTGTCTCAGTTTTATGGGTCACCATGGGAAGATCTTCCCAGTGTTAAATACAGTCAGCAGTCTCAGTTGTGCAAACAACCTGACATAAGTTGAAACGTTTTAATTACTTTTCAGCATCTCTCAGTGGAGTTTTTATCCTTTTTTTGTAAACTAATAAAACAGGAAGCATTGGGCACTTTGATCCAGATCACTGGAAGAATTTTCCTCATTTTGTTCGTTTTTCAAGATCATCAAATGTCTAGAATTCCTTTATTTCCTCATGGGGGAAAAGGTTAGTTAGTTACCATTATGTTGAAAGACAGCATCAATCTTCCCATCAATACCCGGGAAGTCATCTCTTATCCTTCTCGCTTTCTTTTCCAGGGTTTGGGTAACTTCGTCAAACCTAAAGAAGGAAGAAATTTTCAAACAAAACAACCAATTTTGTGGCATTTTGGGGGTGGGTGTTTCTATAATCTAACACTCCAGACATTAAACCCATGGATCACTGAGCCACTGACGTCATTTCTTACATTATTTGCAACAACATAAACCAAAAGGAAACCCAGGTCTATTCCTAGCATTAGGAAGAGTGGCATAGATGCATAATAAGCAACACCAGCTGAAATTCCCTCTGCTATGCAACTATTAAAGGGACAGATTGAATATAAGCATATTCTAGCCTTTACTCTGGCAATCCTATAGACCAGTGGTTCTCAACCTGGAGTCCCCAGATGTTTTTGGCCTACAACTCCCAGAAATTCCAGCCAGTTTACCAGCTGTTAGGATTTCTGGGAGTTGAAGGCCAAAAACATCTGGGGACCCCAGGTTGAGAACCACTGCTATAGACATTATAAAAATGCAAGTTGCTAATCCTCTTGGTTGAACCAGAGTGTTTCATTCTTGCTTTGCTTTGTCAATATTCTTATTAACAACAGGTTTAAGCATAAGCATGGGACACTTCCTAACAACACAAATTTTCAAGTCATCTTTGCTATTATTTCATACCTCCAGTATTTATCAGAAGAAAAGTAGTATGTTCGCTTTTCATTAGCATTGTAAAATGCTGCATCAATTTTCTTGACATCTTTTGGAAAACCTAGGTTTTGGATACGCTTGGGATACCCAGGAAGCCTGTATTCACCTCTTACAGCCCAGAAATGGTTACCTGTAATGAAATGGGAGTTAGAAAGTATTCTAGTTGGGATTTATCAATGGCAGCTTTGGAGAGGGGGGGGGGGATAAATTGGAGAACAAACATTAGTTACTCAGTGAATTTCTTGGTGAGCATGTGAGCAATAGATGTCTCAGTAGAATTAAAACTGACAGCCATAAATGGCTGAAGTACGTAAACACAAAACAAAATGCATCGGTGTGCTGAAGGGAAAATGAATAAGGAAAGGTACTATAAAGGAAACTGAGGTTTGTCGTGTGTCTTATCTGATAAATTGTATTTCGGGCAAAGAACTTGAAAAAACCAACAAGTAAAATTAAAACAAAACAAAACCACTAAAATGCAACAGAATGACACAAGTAACCACAAAGGAATAATTAGTCAGAGGGAGGCATGTGTTTGGGGTCATGTTAGGGAGCTGGGCATGTTTAACCTGGAGAAGAGAAGGTTAAGAAGGGACATGAAAACCCTGATTAAATATTGAGGAGGGATCAAATAACGTTTTCTGCTTCCTCTGAGACTAGCATAATGAGCAGTGGAATCAAATGGCAGGAAAGGAGTTTTCAACTGAACATTAGGAACTTTATCCCAAATTTGGGGGGGGGGGATGGAACGATGCATCATATTACAGTGGTGTTTTGTTCTGTTTGTCATTCCTTGCCACATGTTGTTCTTTCTTGCCCTTTCTCCCCAAATCAGGCATGTAGCCGGGGGGGGGGGGGGGGGCTTGAGGGACTTCAGCCCCCCCCCCCGAAATTCTCATGGTGGTTCGCGAAAAGGCCTTACTGGTGCATTATTTAAACTGTTATGTTTATTCATATCATGATCTGATCACCCTACTCAATATCCCATATGCATGGGGGTATTGGGGTAACGATACAAAAGGTTTGCTAGGGTAGACCCTCTTTCACTCAGACTCAGCCCCCCCCCAAACAAACTCAGCCCCCCCCAATCGAAATCCTGGCTACGGGCCTGTCCCAAATAATTCATTTTCATATTTATCATACGAGTGAGTGCAGTTCTTGCCCACTCCATTTTTTAAAAAAGAAGACCTTGGGGGCAGAACTCTGGGCATACTGGACTTTCCCCTCCCTTCAATCCTTCTGCTCTGGAGTAGAACTGAGGAACTGATTTTAAAGAGACACCAATCTGGGCATACTTTCCTTTCAATTTCAGTACTCTCCATTACATAAGTCCAAAACTTTAAAAGCTAGCAGTATGGACAGGAATAACAAAGATAATTTGAAATTTCAGTATTTTGAATAATTATATTAATTTTAAAAATTATCATGGCAGGCTCAGGAAGTAGGATTTGAGTAGAGAAATATCAGTGCTTGGTAGGGCACCACCCACAGTAATGCTCCTTATTCCACATCACTCAAGCAATTCAACACAGGCAAATTTGACAGCTCCTGTCCCACATGCTTTGCTGTTTTCTCCACTTCCATCATGGTTACATCCGGGGATGGGGAGCAGCACGGGATAAAGTCCAAGAAGAAACTATGCAACCCAAGGCAAAATAGAAATATTGTGTGGCAACACTGAGTGGTCCATTAGGAATAATCTCTTGAAGGTAAAAGTCGTTCAGCTGTGGAATAAACTGTCCCAGAGTGTAATTAAATAAATGCTAGATGACCATCTGCCAGAAGTGCTTTGATTGGGTATACCTGCATGATAGAAAGGGGTTGGACTGGATGGCTTTTGTGGTCTCTTCCAATCACCAGAGAACATCACTCCATCTTCCAAGGCAGCATATTCCATTGTCAAACAGCTCTTAGCAGCAAAAGATTATTCCTAATGCGCCACTCAGTGCCTCATAATGTTGCTATTCTGCATTAGGATTGCATAGCATTGTTTTGATTTATGTTCTGCAAATATTTATGTTACACTAAGGGGATATTGGATTGAGGCCTATAGCAGTATTTGCCATCAAAACATCTTCTTCTACTTTATTGTATTTTTAAGTTGCTATCTGTTTCCAGGTTTCCGAATGAATTGTACTGAAAAACCAAAATAACTACATACATGACAATATTTTTAAAAGGTTACCTTTAAACAGAAATGTCTGATCTTTATCAATATTTTCAGATACAGCATCAACACCAGTTGGTAAAAATGACCAGAACTGAGAAATTAAACTAAAGTCGATCTGTTGATATTGCGGGTGCTTTCGCCAGAAGTACCTGTAACAAATATATATATTTATTATATTTTATGTCTATGGAAAGTATATTCATTTGCTTTTGTAGGACAAAATCATTCCCCCATCCCCTGATTATATAGAGAAAGGAGAATCCTCGGTAGAGTTGAGAGCTCCACATTCACAACTGTGTTCTGAAATTTCCCACCACACTTTCTGGAACACGGGATGCATCTACACTGTAGAATTAGTGCAGTTTGACACCATTTTAACTGTCATGGCACAATACTATGGAATCATGGGAGTTGTAATATGATGAGGCACCAGAACTTTTTCTTGAAGAAGGCTAAAGATATTGTAAAACTACAATGCATGAGTGTACTTAACTCTACATCACACTATTGCTGGATCTACACTGCCCTATATCCCAGCATCTGATCCCAGATTATCTGCTTTGAACTGGATTATATGAGTCTACACTGCCAGAAAATCTGGGATATGCAGATAATCTGGGATCAGATCCTGGGATATAGGGCAGTGCAGATCCAGCCTAAGGTTGCTTTCTCACATGGAAAGCTGTGTATCTGAAAAGGAGAGGTTTGTGTGGAGGTGGCCTACATGAGCAAAAACATTGGGCCTGCTTTTGTGTAGATCCTCAATGTGAATAGGAAGCTCTCCCCTTCTGACATGTTTCCTACCTTTTGAGGGCAGTCAAAGCATAGAAAGTAGATCTTACAATTCCCCTAGTTTTGTATTCCAGAAACATAGGGCCCTTCCAGACAGCCATATATTCCAGAATAACAAGGCAGAAAATCCCATATTATCTGCTTTGAACTGTGTTATCTGTGTCCACACTGCCATATAATCCAGTTCAAGGCAGATAATGTGGGATTTTATTCAGCTGTGTGGAAGGGGCCATAGTGAGAAATAGCTGAAGAGGGTTCTCTATCCATTGAATCACAGCACCTCTCAAGTGGCTAATAAAATATTTCCCCTGTTCTCTACAGAATGGGGCGCAAGGGATGTGAAGATCCTGATCTGATTTATAGACATAGAGGATTAGGCACTTACTTGTCTTTAAAGAACAACATTTCTCCTCGAAAAGGAGTGACAGCATCAAATATCAAACGAGGATCACATGCTGTTGGCAATGAAGCTTGGGTTGGCCAGATAGGTTCAATGGGCTCATCATCCCCCTTTGGGTCTTGAGATGGGTTGGTTGATGGACCTAAAAGAAAACGAGAAACATAACATTAATAGGAAGGCACCTTCTGGATCTGAATGATATGTTGATACTTTGCAAATGTCTGAATATTCTGGATTAATATTGCCCTAAATATATTTTGAAATTATAGTATAAATGAAGGATGCAGGATGTTAGCTAAACAAAACTGTGTGATTGTATTTATTTTTTTCATAATGCAAAATGAGTCACAAGTCCATGACTAGCAGGATCAGAGAGGTCATTCTGGACAGAATCTGTGCTAGAAAGCTATCTAGTGCAGGAAATATGGCATGAGATAGGCTCAAGATGATCAGGACAAGGTTCACAAAGGACATATGGTACATTTTCTGTCTAGCAAAGGCAAAGAAACTTCAAAGAATCTGACACCCAGTCCATATTACTGGTTTGGTAGCACAAATGGATATTGTTATTCCGAAGGTCATGACTAAAAATGAGTTCCTGGAGAGAATGAATTCTTAGCCTCCTTCTACATAGCTGTATAAAATCCAGATAATAAACTTTGAACTGGATTATATGGCAATGTAGACTCTTTGACTCCTTTTACATTGCCATATAGTCCAGATTATCAAAGCAGATAACCACATTATCTGCTTTGATTTGGATTATATGAGTCTGCACTGCCAAATAATCCAGTTCAAAGCACATAATCTGGATTTTGTATGGCAGTATAGAAGGGGCCTTAGTCTCTCAAAGTCACCTAGTTGCATATAAACCTGTTTGTTTGTTTATTTATTTGCTTGTTTAATTTAACAAATTATCTTTATAACTTTAAAAGTGCTGGGCCAAACAGCTTAAATTGATCCTCTTGTATCTCTCAATGGGATCAGCTCCATTGAATCATTTTTAATGGTACATTCACATGAAGGGCAATCTCAATGAAAATATGTGGCTACTGAGGTTGGGCCTAGCATTCTCCAGTATTTATTTAATGTGCTGGGAGTTGGTAACTGATAACATCTGTAGAGCCACACGATTCCCACTGCTGATTTACAACTTCATCATACTAGAGAAAAAATCCACTTAAAATCTGTTTTTTGCATCCTGCAGAATTCTGGGGTTTGTTGTTTAGTGAGGCTGTTAAAGGCTCCTCCCTAAACTACAAACCCCAGAATTCTGCAGGAGGCAGAAACTGGATTTTAAGTGGATTTTTTTCACTAGTGTGATGAGGCCCTGGCAATGTATTCCACTTGCCCTCCCTATCCTCTTCCAAAAGTTTCAGAGAGCAAATCTTGATGTTGCCATTTATAAGGAACACCATTTTACTCTGCCATTGTATATAATGGCATTTATGTATCCACAGAGGTTTGAAATAGATGTGGGTGGAAGTCCTGGAACCAAACCTCCGTGAATATTAATGGCCCCCTGTTTAAATAATGTAACAGGATAGAAACTATCCATTATGAAGATCTGATAAATCAAACACTGAAAGCAGTCTTTGACTAAATATGGAGATATTCAGAGAGAGAGAACAATACAGCAAATGTTTCAAGATGCCCCGTTGGTATTCTTAATTATCTTGGAGTTAACTTTGACTCATGCAGACACTATGAAACAGTGAATAGTCCTATTCAAGTCCTACAGGCTCAGGTTTGTGACTTCTTCAATTTAGTCTGCTTACCTTAATCTGAGATTTGTGGACAAATCCACAAAGAAGCTGATTCTACCTAACATTTGCTGTTTACAAGCAATATACTGAGCTGATTCTTATTTTCTTTCTGAAATTGTTAAACCCAGTTTGATGTTGTTTGCATTTAAGGTTGCTTTGTTGTATTTTTTGAAATGTTCTGTTTATTACAAAAACGGAGGAAAATCATATCAGTTAATGTTAATTTCATATGCTTGATAATATATTATTTAAGACTATAAATATTATTTAAATTACCATAGAGGTGCTGAATTCCTTGGATATCATCCTGAGCGAGAATCTGTTGGCCAAGTTCTGGTTGCCTATAGACTGGAAACATCACAGCATTTGGATCATTGGAATGGTAGAGTCCCAACGAGTGGCCAAATTCATGAGCAGCAACGAAAAAAAGGTTGGAACCTAAAAGTAAAGGAGGAAGTGGATCATGATAGATTTGCACGTTGAAATTACACGCAGATTCTGGTGAACATCATGACATGTCAGAAGTCACTCTTTAGCTGCCTAGCAATACCTTTACTTGAAGGGGAGAAGGCAGCTCCCTTGTTCATACTACTGCACAGGAACAGTCAAGAAGCATCCAAATGTAGATTCATTCCCCTGGCCACCAAAATGACAGATGATTATGCCTTGGTACATTCTGACTCCTTTGAGCAGAGAAAAAACAGAATCTGCTTCCTGACTAAAACTGCCCCACCTTTGCTGGGTGCATTAGGACAGCAGGAATGAACCTCAATCAGTTTTCAAAAGAACACAATCACATTGAGAAGCTTTCTGATACACAAAATGGTGACAATGTGGTGTTATGGATATTGCCTTGCTAAACATCATTCACCTGCCTGCAAAACTAATATATATATATATATATATATATATATATATATAAAACTTTTCAGAAAAATCAAGCATAAAGCAGGTTTTGCTACTCTTGATGGTCTCCAAGAGTGATAGCTTTAGAGCAAACAGGTTGGTGGCACCCAAGCCTTGGTGCTCCTGTACCCCAAGTACAGGCATACTTCAATTTTTGCAAGACATTTTTATTTCACCAGTCATTTGTCCACTGCTAGAATTTTTTAAAACATTATATCCACTTGAGCAGAAAGGCTAGAAAAACACATGTTTTTGGTATCATGTTGGAGCAGCATGTCTGCAATAAACCATGCCCTGAAAATTTGAGCATGAGAAAAAGAATGTGATTTTCCTTTGTGTGCCTGCCTGCAATAGGCAAGTTAAACAGCAGGTGTCTCCAGAATCCCTCATTGATCATGAGTGAACAGAAAAATTAGGAAAAGGGGAAGGCAGATTAGCCAGTTATAGTCTAGCTAGTGCAGTGGTTCTCAACTGTGGGTCCCCAGATGTTTTGGCCTTCAACTCCCAGAAATTCTAACAGCTGGTAAACTGGTTGGGATTTCTGGAAGTTGTACACCAAAACACCTGGGGACCCACAGGTCGAGAACCACTGAGCTAGTATGTTAAAAAATCATAGTTATATACATTTGGTCACCAAAAATAGAAATCATAAGAAAATTGAGCCTGGTGAAAGAGAAAAGGATACCCTCTGGATGTATTTTGGAAGAAGCTTTAAAGTGATCTCTAGAAGTTTAAACATGTTTTTGTTTATTCATGGAAGTTTGACCTGATCATGTTATTTCATTTCAACTGCTCTTTTTATATGTGGTTTAAGTACTTATCTCTACTCTTTCTTTGTTATTTTTACCCCTGTTACCAACTTGTCTGTTAATAAAGTATTGCCCGTGAACACAAGATCATCAACCTGTTTGCATCTAGTTACGTCCACTTTAAAAAAAATGTTTTGCTCAGTTTTTCAGTGGCATTTTAATGGTGCACTTTTCACTTCCACTACGTGGCCTACCTTTACCTGAAACCAATAAAACAGCAACATTCCCACATGTTACCTTCCTTTTGAATAGTAATTTCATTCATTCTTGCTGCCAAGTAAAAGTAACTATGCTCCAAGTAATATATTACTTCTAAGCTCTGAGGAATTCCTAACAGTTGATCTTTAAAAGTAAAACTGTTCTTATGATTTCTATGTTTAAAAATTACCTTCTAAGCCATGACTCCAGTTTTCATCTTCATCGAAATGAGCATCTCCTCCAATACCACTGCTGGGGGCATAAGCATGAGCAACCGTTCCCCCAGGACCATCAAAAGGATTGAAATCTCCATGATCTATGTAAAGAAGGGGAAAAAGCACATCCAATTTTGCCAATGGACAGAATCTTCGCACTAGAAAGATTATTTCATATGTTCTTGGCTAAGTTTCTATTGAAATTGCTAATTTTCTCTAGGTAGGATTAGCCTAGTACCTACCCATGTTTGAACACGTTGTAGTTCTGTGGTTGATTAGAATTAATTTTGGTCAAAAGTCATCAGTCTTTGTATATTGCCATTATTTATTTTTCAGTTCATTGATTTTACAGTGAATGTTAATAATAATTGTCAAATAATGATAGTACTATAAGAGCCCTGTAACTGCAAAACCCACATGTGTCTGTGGAGAAAAGATTTCTCTAGGAGTTTGCTAGATCCTCCAGGTCAGTCTATGACAAGTTTCTCCAAAAAGTCACCACAGAGGTGTGCAGAAGAACCTTGGAAATTTCTATATAACTTCCTAGATATGTACAAAGTTCTCCAGTAGATGTCTATGGTATGTGGAACTGAAAGTGAGCTAATTTAATGGTGTTTGGTCATATAGGCAATTTTAGGTAACCATGATCCAGCCAGGAACATATCCCCTGAGAATATGGGGTTCTACTTGTAATAAATAAAGACATAGGCAGTCCATAGATTTAGCACAGATCAAGTGAGGGAAAGAGGAAAGTTTTGCACCAAAACAAAATGATCCTAGTTTTTAACTAGTGCAATATTGCTAACTCACAAGTAACCCCTGCTGAGTCTGTATTGTGCCATGCAAATGAAAAGGTGTTATTATCCCAACTCCCATTATAATATCCATCCACTTTTTACCTCCTGAACCAAACGAGATCAATATATCTGCATCGCCTTGCAAAACCTTGGTGAACGTCAGTGGTGAGACCCGACTCCAGACTTTAAATGCCCTCTCAATGTCTTTGTCCACATCAGGTATCGTCATGTCTGGCGTATAGTTCAATATCCTTGAAAAAGAATGAAGCACAAATTTAAACAGAAGTTCTAGACTGTTGTCACTTCAAAAAACAACGTGAGGATTTCATCCTGGATAGGAAACATTACCTGTAAGTCAGGTCTTTCTTTCCCCATTTGGGTTGCCCCGAAAAGAAAGCAAACTGGCCAACATCTGGGTTTCCACACCTTGGTCTCTGAATTGTTTCCAGTGTGTTAGTATCCAAATTGCCTGTCACCTCTAGTCCCATAAACTTTTGCATTTCTCTAATTTTTTTAATTATTGGGCTGCTGTTTCTCCCTCTTAAGGTTGGTTTCTCATCTGATGTGAGGTTATAATAGTTTTCTAAGTATTTCTGGTAAGAGAAGAAAAGGAAGGGGGAAGGGAGAAAGAAAATTTGTAATACTTGTTTATGTCTGTACATAATCATATGCACACACATACAAATTCTTCAATGATTTCTTCTTCTTGTATGATAGTCTTCAAAGATATCTAGTCAGAAATTTCAACACATTAGAACTTTAGCTCTCTTATTTCTGCAACAATTGATCTGTTTTTGTTTAGTAATTCTCTTGATTCCCTACTTTTCTTCTACTTGTTAACTTCTGGCTGTCCCATTCACATTTAGTGATGCTGTTCAGGTTGACAGGTTTTGCATCAATATGATCTTAGAACCATAGAAAGCCACCTTATAATGTGCCATACATCTATCCCAACAGATTGCCATCTGCCCAAAAGCAGTATCAGGTATCCTCGTCCCCAAAAGTCAAGCACAAAAAGTGCAAAACTCCAATCAGTATCAGTTTCTCATAGAGATCAGTCATTCCACTATACTGTGAAGAATTGGATATATGAATCTGCATTCATTTAGTAACAAAATTATCATTCTATTCTTGCTATGCTGCCAAAACAGATCTCTCTCTAGCAATTCTATTTCCCTCTACTAAGCCTATAATATCAATCAAAACATATTAAAGTTTCCAAAAAGTTAGAACCATAACTTGTGGATAACAATGGGTGTATTTCATTATAGAACCTCTGAAATCCTGGGTGTTGTAGTTTGGTGAGGCCCCAGTACTCTTTGGCAAAGAAGGCTAAATACTTTGCAAAAGTACGGTTCCTAGGATTTGATAGCACTGAGTTCAAGTGATGTTAAACTGCATTAATTCTACATTTGGACATGGGTTTCTTGGGAAAGTCACACATTATCAGCCCCACAAAACCCAGAAATAGGTTCCTCTTGTGGTCATCTTCAAGTTGGAAATGACTTGAAGGAACACAGCAACAACAACAATTATTACCTCCACCACATATGTCAACTTTTATTTATTTATTTATTTCCTATATTTATACCCTGCCCTTCTCCCCCTGAATACATAGATAAAAAATTGCCAATGCATATGGAAAAAAAAAATACAGAAGTTTGCATTTGTCATTTTAAAGGCTTAATTATTTTTCATTAGTGGATGGTTTTATTGAATCAGCATTACCTCAATGAGCTGCAATTTTTCTCTTTCACTCCAGATCGGCACCGCATGAGACACTGCTACGCACAACAGAACTAAACAGACTCCCTTCATCTTGAGTTGTGAAGATCTGCTTCCAAAGGTAGTCCCTAACTTCTAATGTTTACTATATGCTGCCTGCTTATATAGTATTGCTGTGCTTCGTATCATATGTTTGAGTTTGACTCATTTCAGAAAGTTTCCCAATCAGTGAGAGAAAACACTGATTGGTTGAAGATCTTGGCGTATTTTTTCCCATTTCCCACCTTGATGTTGCAATGGTACATCCTTGAGGACTAGGAAACAGTTACCATTTATGTGTTTCCCTCAATTAGTTGGTGAGGAAATGCCTCAGGGCAATGAATCCTTCTCTGTTTCCTTTTCTTCCCCACCTCCTTCTGGATTTGACTCATTTTACAAGCTGTGTGTTACAAAGAAGATATACATGTTCACAGCAAATTAAATCTCCAGGCTTCAGATGATGTGCAATCCAGAAGCCAAGTGATGCCTCAGTGTTTATTTGATTTCATTCAATGTAATATCCTTTCTTTCAGTCTTATAGGCGCTATTTCACTATATTGGTATAGCACTATTATTCCACTTTAATTACCATTTATTTATTTATTTATTTTATTTCCAGCATTTGTACCCCGTCCTTCTCAACCCCCGAAGGGGGACTCAGGATGGCTTACATTTGGCACAATTTGATGCCTTTAAAAATAACAATGCAATATAGCAACAATTAAAAACAATAAATAGAACATTAATTAAAACATTAAAAACAGTATTAACGCCGTATCACCATTCCAGTCAAATTCCATATCCAAAGCGCTATTTATGCCTGCTGTACAAAAGCCTGGTCCCAGAATCATGACTTCAATTTCTTCTTAAAAGACAGGAGGGATGAAGCTGATCTTACCTCGTTGGGAAGCAAGTTCCACAGGTTGGGGGCTACAGCTAAGAAGGCCCTGTCTCTCGTCCCAACCAGACGTATTTGCGATGCTGGTGGGAGCGAGAGCAGAGTCTCCCTGGATGATCTTAAACTGCAAGGCGGGACGTAGTGGGAGATGTGTTCGAACAAGTAAGCTGGGCCAGAACCGCATACAGCTTTATAGGTCAAAACCAGCACTTTGAATTAAGTTCGGAAATGGATCAGTAGCCAGTGGAACTGACACAACAAGGGGGTAGTGTGCTCCCTGTATGTTGCTCCAGTTAGTAATCTGGCTGCAGCCCGTTGGACTAGTTGAAGTTTCCAAACAGTCTTCAAAAGCAGCCCCACGTAGAGTGCGTTGCAGTAATCTATTCGGGATGTAACAATGGCAATATTATATGGAATGCCAGGATTTTCACTTTAGGAGGGGGATTTGGGATTCTTATCTAGAGAGTTCTTGGGCCTCTTAAAGCTACATAACACTGTGATGGTAGTTAAAGTAGAATGATTGTGCTATAACATTCAATGTTGTTTTACACTGACAGGAGAGACACACTACATAGATAGAGGTATCTAGGTTTTTCCCATCTTTGACATCTTGGACATTGTGCTCGATTCCGGCTGTTGCTCCATCCACCATGCCAAAGAGCCCTGTTCACAGTCTTCCTCTTTTTGATTGAATCACTGGCATTTTTCTGGTATTTCCATATGGTGCCATTAAAATACTTCCCCACGTTAAGTGGTACCTATTTATCTACTCACAACTGTTTTCGATCTGCTATGTGGGCAGTGAGCTGGGCTGAAGGTCAGGTGCTCACCCCCGATCCAGGCTTCGAACTGCCAACCTTTGGATTGGCAAGATTTATTGCAGCTGATGGTTAACCTGCCATGCTAAATGGCGTCTTCTCAGTGGTTGTTCCTAGTCTAGGGAGGTTAGAATGGCCTCTCTCTCTCTCTCTGCTGCTTTTCTGTTGGCAGGCAAAGCCTTTAAAAATTTTCTTGGAAGTGAACATTTTTAAGAAAAGAGCTATTAAGAAGGTGTGGTGTTGTTTAAAATGTACTGCTTTAAACTGCTTTTTATACATTTAAAGTGTGTTTCCAATTGTTAAGAGTGTAATCCTATTTTAATGTTATCCCATTGTAAGATTTTAACTGTATTGTACTTGGGCTGTTGTAGGTTTTTTGGGCTATATGGTCATGTTCTAGAGGTATTTTCTCCTGACATTTTTCCTGCATCTATGGCAAGCATCCTCAGAGGTAGTGAGGTCTATTGGAACTAGGATGTGGGCTTATATATCTGCAGAATGACCATGGTGGGGCAAAGAACTCTTGTCTGTATTGTAATTGTTTTATCCATAAACCATGGTAAATTCCAGTTTTGAAGGAAAGAAATGTGGGTTGTAGTTAATATAGTTAAGAACAACAATAGCAGAAGCACAAATTTCAGTCTATAGCCAGGGGTATATCTAGTATGAGATGACTGATATTTTTTTAAAAAATGTCGTGCTTTTCTCAGAATTGGAACACACAGCAGTAGGGTAAAACAAAATAACAAACACAATCTATAATGCATTTTTTTTAAAAAATGAACTGCAATTCACTTAAAAGCATTAATTTAGAATAGTTGAAATATGTACAGTAAAATACCACAGCTCAAGTTACAGCAAGCTGGTTATACCAAGGGCTCATCCACACAGGCATTAAAACCAAACCAGACTCACCCTGGTTGTCTTCACAATATTTCTCTGCTTTTGGTGAGCATTGTGAGTTACACCAGGTTAAATTGGCTTTACCCCACTTTAGTAAAAGTCAGAGGATGCTCCAGAGTTTGCTTGAAACTCTACAATATTCCATGCTTCAGGGTAGTGCAGACAGATGGATAGAGTCTGATTTGGACCACTCTGCTATCCACATGGGGCACTGCCTCTATTACCTGTTCCCTGTGCTCATCAGAAAGGAGAGATGGAAGAGGGACATATAATGCTTATGTCATATAATGCTTATGGGCTGACATCGGAAGAGGCACCCACATGACCAGAAAGAAGGTAAGGGGATCAGCTTCCTCCTTCATCCTGGTCACATTGACACCACTGTTGATGTTAGCACATGGCATCTGCAATAGCCAGGAACTCACACAGAGCTCTGTGGCCAACTGGGAACAGCGATGGCAACATGGAAGGTGAGATGATGGTTCAGTGGAGCCGATGAAGTTTTGACCTGGTGTGGACTTAAACCCATCACCGTCAAAGATTTGGGAGGGTGCATATGGCAACAGGTGATTTTTACTTGTATTTTCTGTGGTTATGATACTTGTATGAGCTGCCCTGAACCCTTTTGGGGAGATAATAGTAGGGTATAAATAAAGTATTATTATTATTATTATTATTATTATTATTATTATTATTATTAATAGTAGTAGTATTAGTATTTTGATGACACAATAACAAAATATGTCACAGCAAATGAGATATATATGCTGGATTTCGTATCACAAAATCACAAGTCGAACACTTCCCAAGCGTCTAGGACTGTGTGATGTATTTTTGAATGATGTGTGCAGATCCAAATAAGGTGGCCTTTTTGCAAGTTGACAGATTGTGATTTTGTCAATGTTTATTGTTACCAAATGCCGGCTGATATCTTTTGGCATGGCCTCCAGTGTGCCGATGACCACTGGAACCACCTGTACTGGTTTATTATTATTATTATTATTATTATTATTATTATTTGAAACACAACAAGATGAGTCTACAGCAGACAAGATTACTCTGCTGGCTGTTGTATTGGATCACAAGTCGGACACTTCCCAAGTGTCTAGGACTGTGTGATGTATCGGCGAATGATGTATGCAGATCCCAGTAAGGTGGCCTTCTGCAGCTGGCAGATGGTAGTTTTGTCAGCGCCGATTGTGTTTAAGTGCAGGCCAAGGTCTTTAGGCACTGCACTCAGTGTACCGATCACCACTGGGACCACCTTGACTGGCTTGTGCCAGAGTCTTTGCATTTCGATCTTTAAATCCTCGTATCGTGTCAGCTTTTCTAGTTATTTCTCTTTAATCCTGCTGTCACCTGGGATTGCGACATCGACAATCCATACTTTGTTTTTTTAACATGATTGTGAGGTCAGGAGTATTGTGCTCCAGAACTCTGTCAGTCTGAATTCGGAAATCCCAGAGGAATTTGATGTGTTCATTTTGTGTAACCTTTTCAGGCTTGTGATCCCACCAGTTCTTTGTCGCAGGCAGATGGTCTTTGTGGCACAGGTTGTTGTTGTTGTTATTATTATTATTAACCTCTGGAGCCAGTTTCTGCTCCAGACTAGTACGCTTTTTCAGCCACTGTATATGGCCTATTTCAGCCAATTAAATGCTAGATGCCTTTTAAAATAGAAACATTTTCAAAGGTTTATAATCTTTGACTGATAATTCTGTCATCAAGGTGGCCAAAAATACACATTGAACTGTGGAAATTCCCAAGTGGATCTCTTACTCATTCCCATAAAACCCTTGCTCCAAAAACAATCATAAAACATGGCAACATTCAAATATTTCAACAGACTGCAGGATGTATGGCTTTTAAGAGTACATGCTTCATAATAACTAACAAGTGAGGACCTGCTAGTACATTTGCAAAATGTGCATTTAGCACCTATCTTTTGGTTGTAGGTTTGTTTTTTAACCCTCTGACACATAGATCTATCATGTCTTTTGAACCATAAATACATAATAATAATTAAACTTTGATCAAGCTGGTACAAACTGTTCTTTGAGTACCAGTAATAAGCCTTATTGGAAATTGTTGACAAACATGTATCAAATGGTTTACATCCAAATAAATACTATGTTTGGCGCTCTCATAGTACTCTATGAGTTGGGAGGAGCCATGGTATGGAATGAGACAGCTTTCCCAACCTGGCGTCGATCAGATGTTTAGGATAAGATCGTCATTACACTGACAACTAGTGAATGCTAGTTGAAGCTGATGAGAAGTATTGCTCAAAATATTTGAAAGGCATAACGTTTAAGAGATTTAAGGATCCATGATGCAACTAAGAGGGTTTGGGACTGATCATTAACTGGATGGGACACTACTTTGGAATACAACAGCCTGAACATAGAATTGTAAAGTTGTAAGAAACCGTAAGGGCCATCCAATCTCTATTTAAAACCTTCCAGAAAGGGAGACTCCGGCACAATCCAAGGCAGCATGTTCCACTGCCAAACAGTT